CATTGTTTGCAAACTTTAGAGGAACGCTCATCGCACGTTTTTGTGGCCTCTCCACGCCGGATTTGGCATAGGAGTCTTTTCCATCTCACAGAGCAAATGCAATGGAAACTAATGGTGCTACAACAGCACATAGTTTCTCACATTATCTCTAACTGCTCCTCCATATTATACTAAATGAACCTGCGGAAGTGTTTTAACCAGCAATTTTTTTGCACTGAGACTCAAATTCAGGTTGTCCGAATTAACTCGCCTTTTCTAGTTTACTACGTTTTACTCGCCGAGTTACTTTTATGTCATGAAAACAGGTTTCAATTCGAGCCGCCGCTTAAAAATTGTTTTAAATCAATATTTCCAAAACGCAATTTCTGAAAATCTAGGAGTTCAACGAAAATGAGACCTACACCATTCTTTTAAGCGTCCCTTGTTTTATACATGAAAAATGTGGAACATATTTTGAGAAAATGTTCTTTTTATAATTTACATTGTTTTCAACCAAAAATTACCTGAAAACGACTCTATTTGTACGAAATTGTACATGACCTTTTTTTAAGAGCTGTTTTTTCAAGACTGATTTTGTTAAAAACAGAAAACCGATTTCCGATTTTGTAGTTATGAAATGTTAACATTTTCAAATTTTTGAAAATACACAGTTCGCCGGAAAGGACACTAGCACGAAATTTATAACGTCCTTTGATACATATAAGCATAATGTTTTAAAAAATTGAGCCTTATTTTAGAAAAAGGTTTAAAAAGAATTCTTATATTTCACGCAAAAATACTACTTTTGTCTTCGGGAAATTATACGATAACTTACTTCAATATGTCTTTAGAGAACAGATTTCAATAAAGGAAAAATTCAATTTGAATTTTATAGTTGTAGAAAGACGGTGAAGAAATACAATTTTCACAATTTTAGAAAAAGTCAGTGATTTCAACGTAATATAGACCTGTACCATTCTCTTAAGCGATTTTCAACCCCATCCTCGGACACTATTTAAAATTTTGAAAACTTTTTTTGAGGCCTTTTGTAAAGTACCCTCAAAAAAGAAAATACCTGTTTTAAACTCGCTAAACCTTGTTTGTTTATATGGATAGGGAAAAATCAATTTTGGACAAAATTGGCTGAACGGTTTTGACACTAACGTTGACCACAAATTGACAGACAAACGTTGTGCTATCCATCGATTTTTCGGAATCAAAGACCAACAAAACATGGATTTTGACTACACCTCGTATTAGATGATATAACATACTATATATAGGAATATGATGTATCTATTTTTTTCGTTATTATGGCCCGTCAATGAGAATTTATCAGTCGAAAATTCCCCGTTTTGTGGTGCACAAATACTATACTTTCTCTTCTACGAACGAAGTAAGGGCGAGAAAGTAATAAATGGCCTTGAATGGCGTTTTCTCGCAAAAGAGTCTAGATGTTAACGACCGGTACGGGCATAAATATACTAAAATTTATAAAAAAAAATGTGTAATTTTTGGTAATACGCATATGAATCAACTTGTCTCTTGGCGCTCGTTATCATTGACTAAAAAATGTATAGCGTTTCATGTCAAAAATTAAAATTTTTCTATATCTCTTAAATACAAAATCTGTAATTTAATCTTATTCATTTTATGTACCCGTTCCATTAAGATTTAGTGAAAATCTTCTTTCAATATCTGCAACGGTTCAGGAGATATTGTTTGGGCCACCTGTATGTAAACTAAAAAAAGTATGATTTCCCTGACAGACACGTCTGAAACTATACATCTTGAACAACAATACATGTATATTATTCTAGAGATCAAAGATATTTATCTTTCTTGATCACAAAATATGTTAAGAATTCGATAGGCACATAGAACAAGTGTAAAGCATTTAATTCTCTCGGTTGTCACTGAACTCGCGTACATAAAGGATAAAACTGAATGAAATTCTTCTATAGCTTGGACCTCGCATCGACGTCTACTGAAACGAAAACTGTCGTACGGCCAAGAAATAGCACCGACTTGCTCCAACTGCGAGGGGTGACATGTAATACAAAAGCGACATCACAAAACGAAAGTAAGATGTATTATTATGCCTACAATGCTGTAGAATGCCTATTATTAAAGCCTACAATGCTGTACAAAGTAAGATGTGTTTTGCAATGAATGTTCGTTTCGGTCGTATAATGTTTGGGCTACAACCGACATTCTCTCATATATTTATATATATTTAGTTATATTAATATTTAATAGGGAGATGTTTTGCTTACTTTCGAATTACTCTCGTGAGTAATAATCGCATGTCAGTTTTCTCCTGTTTACTGGAAATGAGTTACAAGAGAATAATACGCACCTTTACAGTGATTTACTTTACGTTGCTACCTTGAGAATAGTAATACTAAAACCATCGGCTGCACAAAGAGGGAAGCAGAGCGATGAAGGGCGAGATGTCCAAGACATCGGAAGGGGAACTACAGAGCAAGTGGATGACGCTACCACTAGTACACACGGAGCGTTCTCCGCGGGCCGATGATATCCCAGAGGGCAGTGGTAAGCAAACGTCATCAGAAAGCTGAGAGTTGTGCGAAGTAACTCTGTTGATAGGTCATAAACGCTTTGGTGTTAATTTACATTTAAACTGAAAAGACGTATTTCGATATTTAAAGATAGTTCCTCTTTTTTTTAAAAAAAAGAAAAAGTCTCCTTTTTTTGGAGTGTAACGGGGTGAACGCCACCAATCTCGCTAAATTGTAGGTGAGCTTTCAAGTTTATGCAGAAGACAGAAGAGAAGCGTAGTGTCCCGCGAACGACGTAGGCAACAGAGACATCCCGCCGTAGGTTTCTGAACCTATCTGGCTTAATTTTGTGAACCATCAACTTCGAAAGCCAGTAGCCGCCACTCGTATTTTAAAGATATACGCGTACATGGTTAGTTCTTTCAATAAAATTAAAACTGTTCGTCCCAAATTAAATTTTTCTTGAATTTGTGAGGAGTCACTAAGCAACTTCATATATTATTCTCTCTACGCACTTTTTTGAGTTCCGGAATTCCTTCTTCTTTTATTTTGTCTATACTATAGTTGAATTATGAATGGAAGGTAGCAAGGAGTTGTGTGTTCGTTTTGTCAATAATTCATTGTAAGAAATGTTCGTACCAGTGTGACCCAAAATTTAATATTTGCATCGACAAAAGAGTTACAAAATTTATTTAATAGTACTGCCGACAAAATAATTGACTTCAGTCGGTTTTAGCAAAATATTCCAAGAAAACCGGTACGGGTATTAACTTGAACTAGCCGTGCGATTGCAGAATAAGGGTTGAACTCCGAAGCCCGAGCTGCAATACGAGCGAAGACAGCATGGATCCCGTTTTTAGGCGTTAAACAGAGTTTTCATTAGGGTATGAATTACTCGATGGAGCGAGCGCAGCATCTATTTCATGTCGGTGCCCCTAGGAGTAGGCTGCATTGGGTGAGGGAAGGTGTCATCTAAGGGTTTTGTGCGGAAAATGGTGCGGTCCTTCAATACAGTGTTCCATGTTAATTGCTTTTGACTAAAATGATGGACGTTGAAAAGCTCACCGTCGCAAAAGCAATTATTTATTGCAAGTGATGTTAATTACTATTAGAAAATTACTTTCAAGTTATTTCTAATGATACAAATTTTGGTTTTGGATGTCTCTTTTTGATAATGTTTACATTTCCAGACCCTATTTAATTTTGGACAACCATAATTAGTATTGTCAATATTCTGTCATGATACATAATTTATTAAAAATTCATAAATTTCTTTTTATTTGAATAAATTATGTGACATACAGAATCTTGACAATATTATTTATGGTGGTTTACAAATAAATAGGAAATAGAAAAGAATACATTGAATTTATTTTCCGCAAGCTGTTTGTGTATTGATTCACCTCATCGATGAAGTGCTGATATTCGTAATTATTGGTTTTTTGTATACTGCTTCATTTATTTAGTGAAACAGATGCGATAGCCTTACATGAAAATATATACAGTGGGGTAACCCCTGTGTAGTGATCAGACTGTTTGCTTTCTCCTTTGAGTACCGAAAATCAAATCAATGAGTGAGCAGTGCAATGGATAAACTTTTATTGACACGTTGGGTCTAAGTTAGAGGTGGTTGATACTGGTTTTATCAAATTTTATTATATTAGTAAAATTATGTTTGTATTAATATGGGTATTAATACTCCTTGATGCTATAATAATTACTATTATTATTGTCTGATCTATTATTTTATTTTAATTGCATTTTCTTATTTTTTATCATTTTAATCATTGTAATTAATTGTCGCAGAATTATACCAAAATGAAGTTTAAATAAATTACATAATCTAATTTTAGTTTAAAATTTGGGAAAAAATTGACATGATATTGCTTTGGGTATGTCATTATGTTATTTTTACGCGAGGACTTATTTTACAATAAATAACTTTATTGTAATTTATTGGGATATTTTGAATTGTCTCTTAAAGAAAGAGTATATAATAGTGCGTATACTTAGCGTCACGTTTGAAGTTAAAAAATCTGATTAGTTAAAATTTGGAAATAAGTTAAGGAATAAACGCATCCAACAAACGAAAATCTGTTTAAATGTGTACAGACCCATTGAATATTTATTTTGAATTTGAGTGTTTTTATTGATATTATGATAACGTTAAATCACATACTAAAATTACGTATTTCACAAGCAACGGTATGAATGAAAATTTCTTTTAAATTCCTTACGCAACGGGACTTAACGAAAAAATAGATGAGAAATGATAAACTATATGTCTTCAATTGCTCGCGTCTGTTCGATGTTAGGGTATGCATTTGTTACCTACTTTTATTGTCAATTGCCGAATGTTTTAAACACCTCTTCCGGTCAAAAACTGAAAGTGAGGATCGAGACGGTAGAGCTGAAAAGTTTGCCAGTTTGTTGACTCATTCATGAATTTTTGAGGTGGGCGATAATAGACTGGGAAGAAAAGAAGATTAGCTCGGGTCAATGATTGCAATTGGATTAAGTGAGGATTTTTTGAAATATGTCGTGGTGGTTTGCGTAAGTATTTTCCCAATGGAATTGTATGGGAGTTTCTCTTCACGAGGCCACGTTTGATAAAAAGAGAAAAATGTCTGGTGGTAAATGTTATTTTGTTCATTTTATCAACAAGTTGTGTGAGGAAAATTAATAATTCCATGAAAAGATAATTGTTTCTGTGACAATCAATCAAATGCAGAATTAATATTTTCATCATCCAACAATACAATGTAATATACTTTGTATAGTTCTTTTCTTAGAAGAAACGTTTTAATGTGCATTTTAAAAAATATATGTTATATTGTGAAAATAACCGTGCTAGTATAATGACAACCACCTGTTTGCATAACATTATTGTTTGAAAACGATCTTATTTCCATGTACAGGATACTTTAATATACGGTATCGTATGATTATCCATTACACTTCACTCGATTGAAAATCGTGTATGCACAGGAAATGGAATGAAGTTTTTTATGGCTGCTTGGGGTGAGATACGTGTCGCATGTATCGGAAAATGATTTAGACCGTTGTGCGGGGAAGGGGTTTCGATTTGAGATTCATGCACATAACTGCATGTCACTTAGCTGGTGTGTTTTAAGTTTATGATACAGACGTCACGTGGGAGGCAGAGTAACGTTCATATTGCTGCATTGCATTCCTAATTGTGTGTCTAATTAAGAAAGAAAAGATAATTATTAAATGGGTAAATTTAATTCAAATAAAAACGACTAGAATTATTCGCACTCGTGCCTTACGATGCAGAGGCTTAAATGTGTAATTTACTGTCAGGTAATCTTTTCAGAAAATATTTTTCAACTTTAGCTGTAGATAAATCTGTACATTATTTCTGTTGTTGCGACACATATCATTATATAATCAGTTTACAATTTTTATTAAATTGATATTATTACGGTATTCTTAAATATTCCGGGACGTTATTTTGAGTATCATTAATTTTACAAATAGGCAATGTCTGCACGCGTCATCGGAATAGATACTCGTTAATCATTGCTGTTCTATTAATTGTTTATTGTTTTGAAGCTTAATTTATTACTTAATTGTATATGAAACCACACAAATACATTTTCATGGATTTTTTATGTACGTTCATCGAAAATTTCATATTACTATCATAGTGAATTATATTTGATTTTGTCCTCATATTTATGATGTTCAAACACATGCATATGTATAAATGTTAATAATGTGAATTATATTGAGTTACGTATATTTCGCAAAAGCAAACTCAACCCCTTGTGTTAGAACAATGATAGATAAATACGGAGGAGCGCTGTGAATTGTGGCTCCATAATATACGATTCATATTAACATATAACACTTTGAGCAGTTTTTTCCATTCCACATTGATTAACAGTCGACATTATTTCCACAACCTTGATCTTTAAGTCACCAAGTAAAGAATTAAAATTCCTTTGTTCATTTACTACTTATCTTTTCACCTTTTCACGCTTCACGCTTTTCTATACTCGTAGACCTAACAGAGTTGCACCGTAAATGATTTTTGCACGTGGAAAAGACGACTGCATGGTAACTTGTGGATCAAAAGAGGAATCTGTTATCCAGAGTCGCGTCTTACCTTCGTATCTTGAAACGGTTCATATTTCGTAAATTATTTTGTTTCATTGCATTAATTACTAATGCATTACTTTTTGCTGTAAATAATGCCAAAGAATGTTCCAGTATAAAACGGGATAACAGTTCATAGCTGAAAAACCTTCATGCAAGAGAACATTTTTGTATTGTGTGTCCCACAAAAAATCGTGCTTTCAGGAAATATTTCAAGCACTTAAATAAGCTTGAAAAACAAGTTAATGAAAGTGTGATAAAAATCTATACCTTACTGGTTTGAGACAATCGCATTTAAGACGATATTAAATAAGGGATTCATTGATCTAAAAGTGAAATAGGTACTCTTGGAAATACAGATTACGAAACAACCACCCTTGGCATTTGTAGGGATAAAGTGTGTTCAATTAATAAAAATGCTCTCTCATAATATTTGTGGTAATTACATAAAAATAGAAATTACATAAAAATAGAAAGCAGTATATAGAATATATTAGTAGGACAAAGACAAATATTTTCTCGAGTTCTTGATATTTTCTTCTTAGAACACATTTTGGTGCGGTCGCCAGTCTATCGCGCGGAACTGAGTTCGCTGCGTTGGATTCTGCTAAAGGTTCAGGGTTTTCTCTATGTAACCGTGTTTGTTTTTGCTGTGTCTCTGTCTGATTTTATGACTGTGAGAGGTACCGTAAATCCGTCGCATATGATAACATTTAATCATATCTATCCATTCAGAGCTTTTTATGTCCATGGGCGCATTATCACCTAAACATTACAAAACATATTTTATCATGATCATTACACCGGATTAGGTGGCTCAGGGCATTAACAAATGTCACTGCAGTGTCTCTGTCCGGAAGGGTCTTGGATTCGAGTCCCGACGGTGGCAGGATTATCGACACTGTTATATAGCTATGTCGAATTCAGTCGCTGTCTAGAGGAGAATTCTAGCGGCCAGGTGCTCTGGTCGGTTATTTCTCTTGGTTTCTCCTTTCAACCCAAGACGAATACCGGAGCAGTACCGTTACAAAACGGGCCAGTGACCGCGCGTGATGTTTCTTTCCTCTTCCTTGTCCTTCCTTGTCCTACGAGGGAAGATCACTGCGACCTCCCACGATAAAAATCATGCACTATATTTACGGAAGCAATGAGCTTAGCGGTTGACGCGGCCTGGAACACCAATCAATCAGTGATCGTACCTTAATCTAGATATTATTTAAAGAAATTTAAAAATATATTATTATAAAATTATTAGAAATTTAAAAATATTCTGTTTAATTTGATGGTGTTTTCATGTAAGAGCGCGTGTCGGAGAGGGACGCACTAGAGAGTTGTTTGTTGTGCGCAGGGCCTATTCTCGCGCATCACGTTCGCGCATCAGCCGCAGCCGCTCTTCCTGGCGGGCCCGGCCAAACACCACTGGATTGGCCGACAAGCTTGCGCCACGGAGGAGCGGCTACGGCGGCTGCATCCGCCGCCTGGATGGTCGGCGACCCGCGTACAGCTTCCAAGCTGGCGCCGCTCGGGACGCCGTCAAGGGCTTCGACGTCGGTGAGTGCCTCCTCGGCCCAAATCCTTCCTCGGCGCCCCCTGCCCCCCCCCCCCCCGCTTTCGCCCTGCCCATTCCACGAGCGCCGTCCCCGCGCGACTAAACCTCGTCCGTTTCTTCTGTTAAGGACCGCTCCGCCCCGGTCCGCCCGCCCCGCCTCGCTCCCCGCCTCCACGGCCGTCACCTCGACGCGTCGTCCTTCCGGCCCCACCTCCTCTGATCCGCCGCGACTCCATTCCTCGCCCGCCCCGCCCGCTCACGCTGCGGCCTCGCCGCTGCCACGCCTTCGCCCGCCCTTCGCTGCTTCTGCCGCCCACCCCGTCGCCCGTCTCCGCTTCGGCCTTCTCGACGCCCGCAAAACCGCTCGCCGGTGGCGCTGCGTTCGACGCCGGCCCTCCCCTCCCCTCCCTCGCCCCACGTCGCGCGTACCTTACTCTCCCCTCCTCTCGGCCCCTGCGTCTCGGCTTCCTTTGCGGCTCGCCGCTGCGTCGTGCGTCGCCCCCCCCCTCCCCCCTCTTGCGCTCCCCGCAGTAGGCCACTCCCGACCCCATCTGGATGCAGGTCTGTTGGCGTGCATGCATTGCTGTGTATGCATGTATGCATGAAGGCCCATATATATCTCCACCTCAAAACCTACCTCTCGCAACTCAAGATATGTAAATTTTGTGACTTAGGCATTGATGCTGCAGGGCTATTTGTTGTCTATGTTCTGTTATGAGAAAAATCATATAGTTGCCAGGGCGATGATGTACTTAACTGTGAATGTTTTTGTCTAGCATGGTTAAATGTTAGTGTTGTACGCGTCTCGACAAACATTAATTACGTGTACTTCTTGTATTTTCCACTGTTAGCCTTTATATTTACAGAATCATATTAATAGCTTACTGTCACCCATCATTAACTCAGAATAGACAAATGATATAATTTGAAGAGAAAATGTGTAATCAGAATAAATTACTGTCAGAAAATACAAATCTTATTAAAAACATAAAAACCTTATACTTAAATTCACTCTAACAAATTTAATTTGTTGTTACAGAAATAAATCATTTTTCCTTGCTGAAATTCTATTAGAGGATGACTTTCCTAGCTCTGAAATATAGATGTGCATAATTTGAAATATGCTTTCTATAGATATAGAAATGTAATGTATTGGCCTGCATGTAGTATCAAATGTTTGCCAAAATCTTTTCCTGTGTTTTACAAAACAAACTTTCGTGAACCGAGAAAGGCGAAAAGTTAATGCTTATACTGGAGAACCAGTCTTATTTATCCGTCACAAATTATCAGCATTTTGCCGGAAAGCAAATTCAACCTCCATTAAGCAGTAAGTTGGCCGAAATATAGCCCTTTTGGAGAAGAAGGGCTCCAGCAGAACCTTCAAGTTCAGGCTCAACGATATGAGTACATCTTTCGTGGTCGTTAATTGCAACGACCGGCCAAAATACAGCAGTCATCTATTACCCCGCGGTTCTTTCTCGGTGACAGTTAGGAAAACAAATGACGGCAACCAATCACAGAAACGAACGGGCGGCCTGTTGCTCGCGGTAACATTACGACGTTGCGCGACCTCCGCGAACGAGTTGTGCTCGCCCCCTTGCGGGAACGGCAACGTCGCATTTCGACTTTGATTTGAACGGAGCTGTCAACTGAGAATTACTGGCACACAATGCGGTAATGTACCGTAATTACATTAATAGTAGGTATGCTTCTATTGTTCGGCCAACGTCAGTCGATGTGTGGAAGGAAACCACATAACGGAAACCACAACACCACAAAAGAGACAACTGTAAAACAAATCCCCTTCAGAGGTCATCCCTGACCACGTCATGATCCGAATTCACGCTGAAACGACATACGGGTGATTTGCGGGTATCCATTTACACATGTCTCATCCAATATAGGCTCGGTGTTAACTTTTACATCCAATGCATCAGGTACAAAACGTTTTATAGATACGAATCATTATAACCGATTTTTCAATTGCGATTTATATATATTATATATTATATATAATATATAATATATAATATATAATATATAATATATAATATATAATATATAATATATAATATATAATATATAATATATAATATATAATATATAATATATAATATATAATATATAATATATAATATATAATATGAAAATTGTTCACAATTTTATTTACATGCGTTTCCACTACATTGATAGAAAAACTCATACTGTGAGTCCCTGATATTAAAAAGGGGATAAATCGTGTTCCCATGAGTAGCAAATTACTTCGAAAAATTGGTCGATGGCAAAACGTCCGTCTGAGCAGCTTGTGCACAACGCTAGCGCCTTAATCATTCAGACGATTTTCTCCAATATTGATTGTCTCTGATCGATCTGGTCGAATTCAGGCTCTGCAAGTTGGAAATGGGTATTGTGATATTTGGAGGTACTTGACATGATACCTCGACATTTTCAAACCTTTCTCACATATGACTTCAAGTTTTATGAATAAACTTTCTCGGATATCGCAAAGGACGCTTAACATGGCGCAGGTGCCATTTTTGTTGAAATCTCTAATTTTTGAAAGTTTTGCAAAATTCAAAATTGTTCCGCTTCTTCCAAGAAATAAAATACTAAAGTTAGAGATTTTTTCTTGATGCAATCCGTTTTTTCTCAGATAGATTTGTAGTCGGATCATGAAAAATTTTTCGAAAATATGAGTAGTTTGCGTTAGACCTAGAAAATGTTTAAACAACTATTTTCTCAAAATTGTCTGCGCTTTTCCTTCAAATTTTTCCTTGAATAGAGCATTGTATGGCAAAAGTTATATAGGTTCCCTTCTCGGCTAACTGGTATTTGCGAATGTTGCAAATGCTTTTCATAGCAAAACTACAATATTGACGCTATATATCTTTTGTTATTTAATTTTATTCTAAAATATAAAATTTTATGTGAGGTCATGTCAATTTTATGTAAAGTAGTTTTTGCGTGTTTTTGCGTGAAAAAATTAAAAAGATATTTTCTCAAAACCTAGTCGCGAACTTTTTTTATTTTTCCTAAATAGATCACTTATAACAAGGTTCCATTTTCGTTTAGCACTCTCAATTTGCGAAAACTGCAAAACGTTAAAAAATGCCAGAGAATGTGCGCTGTTGTGAGTGAGATTTTGATTTGAGGATGTCTGAAAGTGAAAAATTGAACCGCAATGTCGCATATAGTAGGCATGCTTCTGTTGCTCGTCCAATGCCGGTCTACTAAAATGTAATACATTGCACTTTCAAGGTTCAGGACCAAAGAATTTAATACATTCCTAAGCAGATACATCGGTAGCAGGTTCGCCTACATTAGACAATCTTGCGACTACTTCGCGAGGTATGTGAAATTAAAATGTAAAATTATTTTCCCGTAATATAATTTATGTGTCTCTGGGACTTTCCTTCGAATAATATTGCAACACTGCGATGGAAAGATACATTTATTGAAGGTGAGCGAAGCTGTAGAAAGGCCCAAAAAAGTTCGACTCTGATCCTCGTCCTGGGCTGTGCTACGCTGTCACCGGGAATCAAACTCGCTGCTGCACTCTGGCCAGACGCTTCGGCTCCCACCCCTCTCCTCCCGACGCGGCCACTCCTGCGGTCGCTCCGCGCCGACCGACGTCATCGTCTGTCACCACTGTCCCATCCTCTTCGCCGCCGCCCTCGGCTTCCCGGCTCTCTAGCACGTGTCCACCTCTTCCATTCCGTTGCTGTCCCCAGGGTCCGGAACGTCACCGCCGCAGTGTCAATGCAAACGAGTACAAACATCGTCTTACTAATCGTCCCAGCCGACGTTCCTTAGTTTACGTATATGCAACAAGTATCCTTGTTCCCAGAAATACACACTCATCACCATCTCCATTTAGCTGCGTCATCGGTTTTTTCGTCCTCCGACATACAGCAAAACTTAATGAGACTGCGGAGACACCGCCATCTCTGAAACTTGAACCACCCATCATTAATGCGATAGATACCGCTGCCTCTCTCATTACTGTTATCTCTATCATTTCCTACCTCTTTATTACCAAATGCGTCTGCATCGTCATCGATACAGCCATCACCGCAATCACCACCCCTTACTCCACAGGCCAACACTCCGCTGCACTCGACCGCCCCCAGCACACAGCCATAGCACACAGTCATGGCACACAGTCATAAAACCACACCTACACCCACGTCCATGCTCCCCCATCCCCCAGCACACACCGACACACTCACAACCACACTCAGAGACTCGGCCACCGCCACGCCTGTCACCTCAGCGTCCTTTATCGGTTCCGTCACTTCTAGCTCTACCACCGCCACCCTTAACACTACGTCCATTCCCACCATTGACCAAGGCTCGACCAGCGGCGCCGCGCCGGAGCGTCGACAAGGCTCTCCAAGTAACGAGTTGCCAACAAGTTGCCGGGTAGACCTCTTGGCCGCTAGGGACGGCGCCGTCCTGATGCGCCGCAGCGGCCCGCCCCTTCCAAATGGTCCGCCGCTGTTTCCGACCACGTACGACCTGTGCTTGGCGAGGCGAGAACAAAGGATTGGAGGGTCTCTAAATTTTACGTGATTAAATTAAATGAAATTAAACTAAAATGTCTCGTTGCCAGTCGTAGGACAATGCATTATTGAAAATATATTTGGGTCGTGCTGACAGTGATTGTGATCGTCAATAGATGATTTTTATTTTCCCTTTGAGCAAGCAGGTACGTCAGTTCATAAACACACTGCACGCACCACGCACGTTTTGTTTCATCGTTCTATTCATTTTTTTGGCACAAAACCCTTTTCAGTGGTGAAGTACACATCTCAATGTGATCTCAATAATTTTTCGCTCAATAAAAATAGGGCAACCGATTTTACAACAACTCATAAACGAATGATTTTACTGCCGTCGTTTAAACGTCAATCGTCGCATTAAAGAAAAATTCGTTACCGTGGGCCCAATGCAATGTCACGTGTTCTAGAAAACAGTCGCGTAACGCGTTGCACGCGCTGAGGTTC